TATAGACAATGGATGGATGGATGTTGCCTTAACTGCTTTAGATATTTATAGTTTCGTCTAATTGTTTTTTGAATTTTAATGGTCCTTGAAACTTTTTTTCAACACTCAACAGTGTAATTTCTCTTTACAAGTGTTGCAATTTGTAAATTGGATGCACTAAACAACTAGTCATTAATGAAGTTATGACTCAGAACAGTTCATCCATAAAAGATTTCCCAAGGTTTATACAGCTCTAATGTGACATCTTGAAAACTTCCCAGAATATCAACACAATGCAATCCACATGCATTTCATATTTCCACAAGAATTTTGATCTGTGGCTTAAAACATAGAGTTCAATCTAATAAGAAGTCAAGTTAACGATGCCGTTTAGGAGTTTGGCTCATACGAGGGGTTGTAAGGTGGCTGCACATGCTCTTCTGATTGTGGCGGTTCTGCATAAACCTGGCCAGCAGGATGGAGCGGATACATCGGCATTCCTGGATTGAACGGAGCAGGATAACCTGGACCGTCTGAAAAGACAAACAACAGATTTTTTAAATATATATATATAAATCGTGCTGTTTTTCACACTATTGTTAATTTATTACTTGGCCTGGTACAGTAACTATCAAAGGAGGCCGACAAATACTTGGAAAGACCTGGAGCTATGCCGTCTGTCTCTTGACCTGTCCCCACTCATTGCTATTGAAGAAATAAATCTTTAAAGACATGTCAAATATATAGAATTCTACAATTTTTAAAGTGCAAAGTGTTTCTTTTTACAGCTGGGCCCTGATTTTTATTTTATTTTTTGTTGTTGTTTGTTTTTGTTTTTCGCAAACATTACTCTGATAGCAATTAATTATTTTGGAATTATTTACACAACCAATGTTCAAGTATTTAGGACAGCAGCAAAGTAAATATAAGATTTATTAAAATCTACAATGCAGAAATTGTGGCTCTATAATGACATTGAAATTGTTTAGTATGTAAGGCTACAAGATACGCATTTTTCTCGACTCTGTCTGTAATTTTTGTGTAGCGGATCACTTAGTTTTTCATTGTACTGTATAACAAAGAAAATAAAATAAATATGATGTAAGCTTTAATTTAATGTGTTGGTGATTCTGGCTGGAATGCAACTGGAGAATCGTAGAAGAAGTTGTTTGTTTGTTTTTGTTTATGTCTTTGGAGTTCTTACCAAAGAATCAAAGGTTTGGTTGTTTCTAAACAGTTGTTAATATTTTGTATAGACTAGAGAGTTTCAAGTATTGTTGTTCTTAGGGAAAGATGAATGGGATGTTTATGCCTAGAACAAGGGGCACCCAAAAAACGTCCTCCCATTCAACAAGCCAATGGATTTTGGACAGAGGCCAACTAAAGTGGCATTATTTGGTACCGGGATGAACTTCTGGGGCTGAGAAATGAAAGTAATGCTCAAGTGCCATAACTGCAGTTCCTTGAATGGCCACTTGAGGCTGGCTCCAAAAGCAAGTCCATCCCCATTAACGTCAATAAAGAAATCTGACAAAAAGCCCAAGTTCACAGCAGAAATAATAATATGTACAGCTTGATATAAAAAACTGTTTTGGTCTCTACAGCCAATTTTCCTATTGATGACAACTCCACAGGGGGTGGATTTTTATATAACTCAACCATTTAGATTATTTTAGGGCCATAGTTTTTGCATAATTAAAGGTAAGTGATGGGTGGGTGTCATCATATAGGACAGTATATGGCCCAAAAAAGTTTGCATGGCCTGCCCCAGCTCCAGTCATGCTCAACCTCTCTGCCCATTTATTTATTTATATTTTAAGGTGGAGTAAGTATTAAAACAAAAAAAACAAAAAAACAGAGCAATCACACTGAACTCAAAACCACTTTTAGGGAAACCTATGGCTGATGTGACAATCTTAAAACCATGTTATTTACTGTTAATGCTTGCTACTGTTGGTCTTTTTATCAGATTTGAAAGTTTAAACATATAAATCATCTACAGATGTATCGTTTGTGTATCCTAGATACCTTTTTCAGTTGGTCTTAAAGTAATGGAGTAACAAAATTGCGGAATTTTAAAATGTCATGAAACGACTTACTATTCGCCATGTATGGTGGTGCTGGGGGCATTGGCATGCCTCCATATCCTGGCCCCGGGTGATAGCCTGGGTAGCCTGGCTGATATCCAGATGGAGATTGTGGATGCATGGGTGGTTGGACAACTGTGAAGAAGTTTATCAAAGTTAAATTAATATATTTAGTTTTGTTTGAAAAAATAATTTATTGAAATGTTAATGTCTTTGCTGGTAGAAGCAAATTGTTAAAAATAAATAAATAAATAAATCATCCACTGATGCAGGAAGAACACTTTATATTGAAACAAATGCAATCACTTTGTTTAAAGAGAAAGTTCACCAATTTGAGAAATTCATATACCTACATATGTGTCTCACATGTTTAATGTGACCAAAACCAAAGTGTATAAATGACAAATAGCTGTTTTACAAGTATTTACATGTTGGACAGTGTTCTGGTCTGGACCAGTTGCTAGGGAAACTCCAATGAAGCAAACACTAGTAACACAGCAGTTTGTGGTTATAAGGACTGAAATTCAATTCAAACAAGATACAGCTTGATAATTTATGGAGTTCACAGGTGCTGTCAGGTGGATTCTACCTTCAAACACAGCAAGGCTAGCTGTTTCCACCTGTTTCCAGTCTTTATACTGAGCTAAGTTAGCAGATTCCTGGCTGAAGCTTCAGCTAGCATGCAGACATGAGGGTGGCATCAATATAAGTTTGTAACGAAAGTGAGTACATCTAAAATTGTAAAGGATCTTCTTAAACTGTAACTGCTGACATTATACACCACTGCATATTCAGAGTACATTCTAAAATTTGAGTGTGTATTTTTCTGCATGAGATAAGCTGTAGCTGAACTCGTGGCCTACTTGAATGCCCTCGGCTGCCCCCTTTGCGACATTTCTTGTAGCACAAGCAGCAGGGGGCCACACAGCAGATGATGAGGCCCACACAGAGGATGATGGGAAAAACAGACCCAAGTATACTTCCCAAAAGTACACCTGTGCGGTTGGTTTTATCGCCACCGGGCCTGTAAATCAGAAAGAGAAAGTAGCAATTTTACAAGGTCTAATTATTTTTAACATTCTTTAAAAGTGTACATTTTCTAAAGTTTTATATACTGCAGCATTTTTCAAAATCTTTGTATCACGTAGAACGAAGCACCTTGTGGAACAGCGTTCCTGTTGGCTTTGACTTAGGCGTTGTGACTGGTCCCTGCAGCAGAATTTGTAAGTGCAGTCTCCACAGCAGTATGCCATGCTACACTGCTGTGCCCCATGAGAGACACCATACTTGTCCTTGTAGCTGCTGCAGTATTCGGCTGTAAGACGTAAAACATGGTCACGGTTGTAGTAAAAAGCAGTATAACATAAGCTGATAAGAAATTGTAATGACAAACACTATACAATGTCAGTAAGGATAGTATACTTTTTTTTTTTTTTTTTACAGTGCACTGTGGCAGGTTTGGTTTCATTTTCTTACAGTTTCCACATGACCAAAGAAGTATGAGAGATAATAAACTTGTTTAAATAAATACCAAAACAAAACTTACCCCATATGGCAGGGAACACGACCACACACAAAACACACACAAACAAGACATTTGAATCCATATCTGCTGTGATGGAGTGTAACGAGGAAATGAGTGAGACTCTGCAGTGAGACAACTGTTCAAACTTGTGTGTCTGTCCCACCCTGTGACAAGCCACCCAACAACATTCCTAACTTCATGTGAAAGACTCGACTCTGGATAATTAATGAAAGACAGTTGCAGACATTGTTGCAAACACTTTTTTATTGACTCTATCTACTATGAAGCTCTTGAGCATCAGTCTTTTCTTCACTGAGAACACTATTTAACAAGGTAAATATTTCATTGAGAATAAATTGACTTTTTCAGAAATGCTTGGGAAAGTGTGACTTGCATAGATGTTGTTAGATGCTTAATTTACAAGGGATACCATACAATAATAAAAGCTTTTCTCTACTAAAAAGCTATTTAGTTTGGAAAACATTTACAACCATGCTTGTAACTAACTGTAGCAACCTTACTATCCATCACTGATACATGTTGCCGTACTTTAGTGCAACCTGGACTTACCTTATGTAGTTAATTACTACTACTAGTAGTACTACTAGTTATTTCAATTTTTTATCCTTGTACACACGACACCTTATTCTGACAGCCAGACTGCTTGTTACTCAAGAAGCTCAAACAGATTTTACATAATACATATGATGTGTTGTTAAAATATGATGCATTGTTGTAAATGAAACTACTGAACAAAACAGTTCAAACTGGCTTCACCATAAGATTGTAAATTGTTATTTTTTAAATTAATTATCAGAAATAATACATCCCTATTATTTATTAATAATAATACAAAAATGTATCGACTTTGGGCTGCAAGGTGGTGCAGTTGGTAGCACTGTTGCCTCGCAGCAAGAAGGTTGCCGGTTCGCGTCCCGGTGGGGGCACCGGAATCTTTCTGCATGGACTTTGCATGTTCTCCCCGTGCAGCGTGGGTTCTCTCCAGGTTCTCTGGCTTCCTCCCACACAGTCCAAAAACATGTTGAGGTTAATTGGTGATTCTAAATTGTCCATAGGTGTGAATGTGAGTGTGCTTGGTTGTCTGTCTCTAAGTGTAGCCCTGTGATAGACTGGTGATCTGTCCAGGGTGTCCCCTGCCTTCGCCCTAAGTCGGCTGGGATAGGCTCCAGCTCCCCCGCGACCCTAATGAGGATTAAGCGGTGTATAGAAAATGGATGGATGTATCGACTTTTATTTAATATTATTTGTTTGTTACTTTTTCCTTGTAAAGTAGTCATTTTACAGACAGACGGATGTGGATTCTGCCTTCACCGCTGGTGGTTAAAGAAACACTTGACAATTACACTCTACAGAAACTCAGAATCCAGCCGGGTGTTATGTTGCGACATTAAATTTCAGGTTTTTTTTTTTTTTTTTGTGCAACATGTGGATGCAATACAGGCAAGTAACTCCACCCAAGTTGGCTCTGAACCAGCCAACGCTATCCGCCTCCACCCAGTCTCCTTTGATCTCACTTGTTACACTTGAGCACTTCTCACACAGCAGCACTCAGCCTGTTTTCAACATCAAAATCCAATCAATTACGACATCAATATTTATGAAAAGTGAATAGGTTCTTTATGTAATTTGGTACTAATTACTGGGAAAACAAATGTTATTTATTTAACTTATCACAAGGCACATTTATACAACCTTTTTGTAAAACTGTTTGCTTGTAGATCAATTTGTCATTTTTGTTTGCTCAGCAAACCTGTTGTGCACAATCAGACGGCTTCTTGGCTATACTAATGAATAATTGGAATTAAGTCATTAAATTAATAGATGCCAACTGAACACAGTTTTCTTATTAGAACCAAACTATTTTGTGCTAGTCTTTTTTCTTTTAAGGAAAGTATTTCTTTATTACACACATGTATAGTAAAGTGCCATCATAGTAAGCTCCTATTTTAAGTTGCAAACAGAATTCATGACATTGTTCTTGTATACATTCAATCCTTCAACTGTCTTGTATTCTTACATGTAAAAAAAATATATACAGTCAAGGAAAAATGATTAGACCACCCTGGTTTGCTTCAATTTCTTGTTCATTTCAATGCCTGGTACAACTAAAGGTACATTTATTTGGACAAATACAATGATAACAACAAAATAGCTCATAAGAGTTTAAGAGCTGGTATCCAGCCGTTTTCCATGGTTTTCTTGATAATAACCAAAATCACTTAAGTTCTAACATCAATAGTTACGGCACTGTACTGCCAAAAACAGTGCTTTTAGGCATTCCATGTTTTCTTTTCTGTCTGTTTTAGTCACATGATACACACAGGAGTTAGTACTTGATTGCATAACCATTGTTTTTGAGGATTCTGCAGCCATAAGTCTTGACATGCTCTCCACCATCTTCTGAGTGCATGGTCATCTCGTGGGCTAGAAAGATGTTTCCTGCTGCAACTAGCTAGCAGTTTGGTAGTATGTTGTTCGTCTTGTTTTTTCTTGGTGTAATGAACAGCTGTCTTGGAGATCTTCAGTTTTTTTGCTACCTGTCTCTCCAATTTCTGGCAGTACCAAGATGGCTGCCTTTGTGGCTTTACAAAATTCTTTAGTTTTAGGCATTATGTGACAGTTGACAACTTCTGA